AAAAAAAAAATTTGGGGGATCCTAGTTAAAAAAAAAAAGGAAATTAATAATTCTGCCACAAAAAAAAAAAAAAAAAAAAAAAAAATCCTGTTTCAGCTCTCTTGTTTGGAGCTGAAAGGCATGTTGGGGTGTCTCTACCCTCTGTGCAGAAACCTGCTTAAGAGTCACTCCAGAAACAAGGCATTGGGTGTTATCATAGACTCATCATCTCCTCTTCATCAACTTTTTTAGCTGCTGTTCTCAGACACAACATGAATAGAAGAAGTTGTTCCACGATTTTCTAATTTATATAAAACTGTTTTAATTTTTCTGACATCACGAGTTATCATTTATTGTCATTTATCGTGTCTCACATTATCAACATTTTAACTGAATGAAACAAAATATGGAACAATTCTTAAGCACACAACACCACCTGCTGGGCAAGATGTGTAATCGCAACTGAGGGCTTAAAAAAATAAAAGACGGAAAGCGGAAAGAACCAATGCGCAAGAATAAGAACATAATTGAATGAAACAGTTAAGACGTAATTTTCAATCTTCATTTTTATTAATAAGTCTTTTAAATTAACACCTGTATTTAATTTTGTAACACATATGTTGCGTCGATTACAGTTACGTTACAAAATGTTTCGTACTTATTAGAAATGCTTCTTTTGGAGGAAAAAAAATAAAAAATGAGGAAGACTAAGATGAAACATTTGCATTGTGGTGCTTTTGCGGTATAAATGAAGCCACATTCCGCTGTGTTCAGTTAGGAAGGTGAGATTCCTGGAATAAGGAAGTGGATCCACCTTATTTGAGGACTGTAGAGGTGAGGGAGTGGCCACCTGACACCTTCTGCTCCACTTTCTGACATTCTGTTCGTCTTGATCGCTCCTGGAGGGATTTATATACTTTTTTTTCTCCCTTTTATCAAGCTGTTGTCCTGGGAGAAGTTCAGTAGAATCAGGTAAGAGTCGAAATAAGTCTATGCCTCTGCTTCTCACCAACGAAAAGAGTCTCCTCTTAGAGTTGTTTACAAAAAGGCCAAGGTTTATGGACGTCCAGAAAAAAAGGAATGAAAGTCGAGATGTTTCGGTTTTGTGCGCTGTTTCTGTCTAACTTTTTTTTTTTTTTTTAATTAAATGTTCACTTTCTTCAGAAAAAAACAAACAAACTGCATAATTATATCTCGCAACTTCTGTTGTATTGGTAAGTATTACTTATGGTCATTGTAACGGCGCAATGTGAAACTTGAGGAGCTTTTTATAACCACAGAGGAAGAACTATGTTCATGAGCAAAGCATGTCTGTGCAGGTGAGGAGGCAGCCAGGCGCATTCCAGGCCCTGGGGTCATAATGTTGCGATATATAGACCCCCTGCTATCTGTTCAGGGCAAAGGCATGGCTGGATGATTGGACTGGACCCTAATAACAGTTCTATATTACGGATTAGGAATTTAGCCTAGAAAGAAAAGATGAAGATCCTGGCATGTGTTTTAACATTGGTTATCTCTGAAATATCACTGATTTCTAGAAGCAGCAAAGAAAGAAATCCTAAAAAGTGATAAGAAGCTCTGACATACGGAGAACAGCACTGTAAGTACTGGGAAGTGCCATCTGATTCTCTGTTAGGGTGGAACAGATGCTTGCTCAGCCCGGGGTGCATGTCTTAACAGATTTTTTTTGTGTTTTTCTTTGCAACACTGAGCTGTACCTGGGAATCAGGACACTATACTGAGAGATAGGGCTCTCCCAGGGAGGCTCAACTCTGTTAAACAAATGGCGTTTTTATGCTGTTAGGAATTTAAATGAAGAATCGTCTTCACATTTCGGTTTCTAAAACAAACAAAAACACTAATAGTGTTAATATGCACTAAGGAACGTGTTATTTCTCAGAGAAAGTCATGTTAGATTGTTTTTTTTTGTTTTCCTAGGCTGAAAATCCCCTTCAATTCAAGTAGGACAACTTTTAAATATTTTACTGATTTAAAAAAAACTTCATCACTTTTTTATAACCTGAAACTTTAATTTGTTTTCATTGAAAAAAGTGCTTAGATTATTGTAAAAAAGGGAACACAAAAAGTTAGTGGTTTTCAAACCTTTTTGGTACTCAAAAACCTAATAAAATGTGGTATGTATTTGTATTTAACCCCTTTTACTCTGATGCCCCAAACGGCAGGGAGATCAGTGATAAAATTGTGGAGAAGTTTAAAGCAGCACTAACTTATCAAACTATCGCTCAACCTGTAGTGTCTCGCATAACCTAGAAGCTACAGCCCGAACTACAGTGGCATGGTTAGACTGGTTGTGTGTGTTGCAAGAAGCTGGTCCATCACATGCTGCGCTCCACACTGTATACATGAGCTTCCTCTTTCCTCAAGCCTTGTTTAATGTTCCTCCTTCTCTGTCGGCTGCTGAGGAATTTCACTCTCTTCTGTCACTGTTCCCTCATGAAGATACTGCATGTTTCAGTACAACTTGACTGTTCACAACAAGGACACAGAGTACTTGGGCAAGTTTTATCTAAAAAAAAAAAAAAAAAAAAAAATGTCTGGCTGATGAATATCCCCACTCGTTGTCCTTCTGACGTCTCTGTAGTAGAGAGATGTTGAAAGAGTTACTTCACACCACTTTGGTCTTGTAAGAAGAAGAAGAAGAAGAAGAAGACAACCTTCCTGGTAAACATTTGTTACCATGAAAAGCATTAGCTAGAGATTAATAAATAAAGACAGCATGTACTAACTCTAAGGCCAGTAGGTCAGTTTTTCCACATCTTTGGGGGACAAAAAACTTTAAAAAAAACTTCAAATGCATTTTTAATAAACACAAACAGTAGTTTTGTCAGTATTTCCGATTAACTGGGGGTATTTTTTGTGTATCAAAATTAACAGAAAAAGTGTTGTGTACTTTCCAGGTATAAATAGATGTAATATTTACTTTTTGTGAGCCCGTGTCTCATACAACAGTTAACAAAATCAATTAAAAAGAACAAAGCAAAGGCCTTGCTTACAAGGAATGTCTGAATTCATAAATGATTATGAAACTATGATTCATTTGTTACAACAAATGAATCATAGTTTCAAATTCTGGTTAAGAGGTTCCTAGAGGAAATATCTGTTAATTGAAAAAAAAAAAAATATCTGTTAACTTTTGTCTCAAAGAGAGACAAAAAGAAACTTTATTTCCAGAAAAACCAAGTTACTTTGCTTGACCTCCTAAAACAAAAACCAGAACTGAAAACCAAACATGGCTTTCTGACACAACAGATTTTTAACTTTTAGTTGAAGAAATAAACAGATGTGCTAGCTTGTCAAAATGTTTATCATCTTTCCGCATAAGTTGACATAAAAAATAATAATAAAAAAACATGTTATGTGGCTCTCAACTTAAATAAATTAAGTGCATATCACTTAGATTCATTTTATAGCAATTTCACTTGTGGGTGTTAAATATATGTGATGTCTCTAAGTAGCAAGAATCACCTTATAGAATTTATTTGATATGTCTAAAATTGACATCAAATTACATATAATACTGTGTCAAATATATAGAAGGGTGTTGTAACATAACTTACTAAAAGCCATACATTTTCTTTTACTATTAAATGCAAATCATATTGCAGATGACTATCAGTTTGGGAGAGTCAGTAGCAGTCAAGTTCTTAGTCAAGTTTACTCTGAACATAGACCATAACACACTGAGACCATAGCATTGTGAGCTGATAGGTTGACTTGTAAGTCATCTGAAAGTGTGCTTCAAGTATAACCCAGCTAGAAAACCCCAATTGACTACACAGAAGTATGACTTGTATAACTTACTGATATTAAGCACATATAATCCTACTATTGTACATTGAGTATTGTGCATAATACAACTTTCCTGGTGGAAAGTTGTATTATGCACAAAACTAAAAGAAAATCGCAAAGATACATTTGGAGCAACACTGAAATTTTAGCACCTTGCGATAGATAGGGTGATGACATGTGTAGCTTGTGGCCTACTGAAATATTTGCCCTGTTCCAAATGACTTTAAGGATGTGGGAGTGTTTCATGTACAAAAATACCAGCTTTGTACAACATTTTCCCTCTTCTTTGTAGAATTATTTTAATTCAGCCACATTGGAGGGTTTAGCATGAAGCCTAGAGCGTCTCAGTCTGATGTAAGTCTGGACTTCTAATAGTCTAACTCAGAGACGAGTTTGCTTGTGAGGTTCTTGTCGGTGTCCAGCTGCACAGCTCCCTGAGTGAATAGTAATGAAGACTGCTGGAGTTTATTCATCAGGATTTATTGGTGGACAGCTGCACTCATTCTCCCATCAATTATTGCATGCCATAAAGCAGGTCCAGATCTTTACATAAGAACCACCATGCTATACCTGCCACTACTTTTAAAATAGGAGAATATCAACTATGGTTGTTTTATACCATATGCTATGCAATGAAGACCTTTAAAAAGATCTTACTCACTATTCTGGTGTCCATCAAGCTGATGTTTTTGTGTTTGTTTGTTCACCATTCCATTGGTACAATTTACAGTTTCTTTCCTCACCAGAGGGGTTTACAACCCGTCTTTTGATGCCCTATGTTTTAGAGTTTAATTCTTTGCCAGTCCAACACAGGGCAACAAAGACACTCTCAACCATTCACACTAAGGTCAATTTTAGAACAGTCAAGTAATGTGAAATCATGTTTTTGGACTGTGGGAAGAAGTGAGGGTGTCTGGAGAGAACCTACACATGGAGAACATGCAAACTACATGCAGAAAGACCCTAAGCAATAGTACACACCTAGTTATAAGGCAAGAGGGACAGAAAAAAAGCCTATGGTTTGCAAACAAGCCAGATATTGACATAAGAAACTACACTTTTCCCTTCTCGCATCCACATTTTCTGCTCTGCTCTGTGTAAACAATTTCTTTCTTTTTCCTGGAGAAAAATATTCTGTTCTGCAGAATATTTTGGCAGAACAGCTTTGGCAATGCTCCAAACACCGGATCTGAGTGTTTACTAATTGTTTTTGTCCAGACCGTGTTTATAGACACCGCATTCTTCACGTATTAATCTGCAGGACAGTTAAAAAAAAAAAGAAAAGTAAAACCAGTTGCCGAAACACCCCCTGTTGGGCTACCACCAGATGATGGTGCAACATTCTTTGCTCTCATCCTCTCAACTTGTCTCCCTCTTCTGTCTTCCGTGTTGCACACACTCGCACACATAAACACGCCTACATGATCCTGCTGGGGAATTTGTGGCCCCAGGCTAACAAAACACAACCTAACAGCGGTGGAAGAGCCGCTGAGAGAAACCAACACAACTCGGGCCGCTCACAGCGGCCTAGCAGCATGGAGCTGCTCAGTTATGACGTTTAAAAGGCTCTTTCCTCACCAGCGGGGTTGCAAGGTGGGGATTGGCGGACGTTTCGTGGTGAGCTTACATGTCTTTGCAAGATTGTTTCTAAACGTGCTGACTCAAAGAGTCGCAGGAAGTTTTCAGGCAGAGAGACTCTTAAAGTAAGTCCATTTCTAAGAGCATGTTTCTTATGCATTCACTGGAGGTGTGTTTCTTTTTAGACTGAGGAATACAATTCAAGTTGACGGTTTCGATATGTGTGCTTGTGTAGCAGTATGATAAAGATTTATGATCATTTTTACAATCACTGACCTTAGTCATGTTTGTTTTTAAGCCAGGTGGTCAGAGGGTAATTTGCGTCTGGGAATAGAGATTCAGAAATCCAGAGGACGGTGGTGGAAACAAACGCTTAAGGCTAGAAGGTTTATTGTGATTCTACGCTAGGAATAAACAACATTAAGAAAAACTTTAATTTATTCCATATGGTGAAATTTGTGGAAACCAGCAGAAAAGAGATAAAAAGTGGTGCAAGCTTAGTATTGTAACTTCACAAATGTACTACAATGAAGTACAGAGAGTTGGCATACTCATTTAAGCTAATGAAGAATAATTTAGTTACTTCACCAAAACATTTTAAATGCTGTTATTGATGTACTGAAAATTAGTTTCCATTCTTATATTGAATTGAAATTATTTGTGGATAGGCCTTCACTTGGAAACAGTGCATGGCCTTATTTATTATTATTATTATTATTTTTTGTCTTTATGAATCACTTCCTATCATTATATCTTGAACATTCCTCTCAGAATGTGCTGTCCTCACATTTCTGTGCACACTTGTAAGATTTGTATATGGTAAGAAATCATGGACAACGTTTGAGCTTTGTGATTTAACAGATTTTTCAGCTGCCCAATGTAATAATGGCAGAGAAACAACCTAACGTTCTAGGGAAGCTGTTTGCCTGCCCTGATCGGTGGCAATGCACACAGATTCCAGTGTGGAGAACTAGCTGTGGCGTAGGAAAGAGCAAAGAGGAGGGTGTGAGCGGCACATACATGCAGGTGATTGGTAGCGCTATTCAGGGTCTTAGCGCTCATCCTGACTCTTGATTGTTTTTTTTTTTTCTGTCTGGGACTGTTGTATTTCTGAAAATGGCAATTTTCAGAAACCAAGGGAGAAGGTGAAGGAGCTTGATTTTTTTATTTTTCACAGATTATCTTTTTCATATTATACTGTCATAGTGACAGCTTTCACGAATATGTAAAAAAAAAAAAAATAAATACACCATTTATGTAGCTTTAATAACCAATTTTTACAGTTTATCTGCAAAAACGTTGATTTGGAGTTTAGTTACTCTTTAAGTGTCTTGCCCAGTGGCACCTCTGAATGTAGCTTAAAGAACATAGAATCAATCCCATAATCTTCATTTTGCCTGTGAACCACTCTTCCCACTGAGCCCCAGTCATTAACACTAGAGTTAATGGTAACACCACTGCAGCTGGTGGTTTACTGTATTGTTTTTGTAGCGCTTCCACTTCCATATTGTAATTCAAACAGCGGTGAACGATTAGTTGCAAATGAAAACTTGACTTCCTTGCTGAATCCCTTTATTGCTGGTCCAACGCTGGTTCGGTTGACAAATTTTGCAGGTCCGCACTTGACATCACAAATATGGAAAGAATGCAATCTTTGGATCTTAGAAACAAAAGTTATGAATCATTGCACCCACAAGGCACAAGATCGCAGGGTGAACACGACATGATGGATATAAAACATGACTGTGTTTGCATGATAAACTGAGTCAGGGAACACAGTGTCCTTTGGTGGTATTGTCATTGCAAGTTTGTTTCATTATTATTATAATTTTTTTTTATTAATGGCAGTCTTTAAAACCTAACTATTTCGGTTGAGCGTCTTCAGTTTTCATTAAATCAAATGCTTTCTTTTTCCTTTATTTGGTTGAAAGGATGACGCGGGCGTGACGACGCCAACCCGGCTCTGACGATGTACGAGGTGATGTCTGGTGACACCCTGGCCTGGAAAGGAGCCAGTCCAAGACAAAGCAGCACAGACTCCAGCCCCGAAAACGAGATTACTGGCGAGGGAGGGCCAGTAAAAATCCTCAAAGTGTGCTTCTGCACCAACAACAACCTAGGAAAGAACTTTAAGCTGGTGAAGTGTGACAGCTCCTGGAAAATCCAGGTGAGAGCGTCGTTTTGCAGGCGTGGACGTGCCGGAAGGTGGAGTTGAAGATGCTTCTGTAATTGTTTTGATGACAGTTTTTGGTACAAAGTGGTAAAGATTTGAAATCAGGGATTCTGCATAAATCGTAAAACATTAGCATTTGTTTTTTTTGTCATTGACATCTAATAAATTTCTGCTCTACATAAAATTATTGATGATTCAAAGGATTAAAAAAAAATTGACTTCCCTCAGGCTATCATTCGCTCCATCCTGATCAGCGGTCGATTGGGACCCAACGTTGAACTCTCAAAATGTTACGGTCTTCTGCTGAAGCACTTAAAGTCCGAAGAACTTCACTGGCTCCACCCAGATCTGACCGTGGGCGAGGTCGAACAACGCTACGAGAGTCATCACGTGGAGGCCGAGTGGAGGTCCAGATAGGTTTTTAGGGCTTATTGTCGCAAAAAAAAAAAAAAAAAAAAAAAAAATTCCGTGATATGAGATTCAGAAATAAAGCATGTCTAGTTAAAATACATTTCTCCTCCTCTTGTTTGCAGGTATGACCTTAGGATCAGATACATTCCAGTCAATTTCCCGGAGAAGTTTAAAAATGACAGATCCACGTTTCTTTATTTTTATCAGCAGGTACTGAACCCCTCCTTTCTCCCTGTCTTTGTTGTAGCATTCAGAAGTAAAACAATGGGACTACGCCTAACATTGATAAGAGGAAAAAGAAATAAAGGCTGTTATAAATAAGGTTTTCAGTAATTATTTAACAATGCCTGGTGAAGGGAGTGCTGTGGTGGCGCAGGGGCAAAAACATGACCCACGTATGAAGGCCTTAGTCCTTGCAGCGGTAGTTGCAGGTTCAATTCCCACCCTTGTGACGTCTGCTGCATGATTTGGTGTTGAACTACTTTCAAATCAAGGCCACTAGAGCCAACACAACCTTAAAAAATAACAATACGTGGCAAAAATAGATTTATATGTTAAGTTATGGCTCACGTTTCTATTTTTCTGAGTGACAGCAGGTAATGTTTCGCTACAGGTGCGTAGCGACTACATGCAGTGTCATGCCAGCAAGGTCAGCGATGGGATGGCCCTGCAGCTCGGCTGTTTGGAGATCAGGTGAGTCACTGCATTCCTCAGCTCACAAGTCAATGAGTTATTTGAATTCTGGTTGCATTACTTACGGGCTTAAGACCAAATGATTTGTTTACCTTTATGTCGTACATGTATTGCATAACTTAAAACTACTGTTGAAATAACAGGGATTTGTCTATTTGTATCCAGCATTTACAAACATGTAACTCTGTGTTTGCAGGAGATTCTACAAAGACATGAACGCAAAAGGTCTTGAAAAGAAATCCAACTTTGAGCTGCTGGAGTGAGTTTTTAACCCTCTAAAGCATTTTCTTTCTTTCTTTCTTTCTTTCATTTTTTTTTTTTTTTTTTTTTTTAAGAAATGGCTCTCAAAGTGTCCAAAGCAAAGTTTCAGATTGTTGAAATCTGTGTGAATGTTACAAAACAGTGTTCTTTGTTAGGTGAGTCAGATGCATAACAGTTTTTTTTTTTTCAACCGAGACAAAATATGGCAAGCAAAAAGCCGCCAACAGCAACAAAAGAGGAGACTGTAAAACAATGTGCATCCTATTCAGAAACTGCTCTAATCAACAGAATGAAATGAATCACAAAGAAAAAAAAGGGTGCATAGATTTTTACAATTACTTTAGAAATGAAAAATAACTCGGAGGAATAGAAGATAAAGTCTAAGAGATGAGATGATCCTGCTTCACTTATAATACAGAAACATGATCCGGAAAATCTAAAAAGTCAGGAAGGATTAAAAAAGGATTTCTAAGTCAAAGAGCTGTGGTGCCTTGCTAAAGTATTTGTATTCCTTAAGCTTCTCAGTTTCTCACTTAACAAATTGACTTCACGGACTTTGTTGAAACGAGTTCTGTAATTGTCATACTTTTCACACATTCCAAACATTTCAGATTTCTAGATTTTAAAACAAGTCAAAAACTATTTATAAGAGTCCTTTTCTTTGCAATCACGCCCTACCTTGTGTTGGTCTCCTGTATAAAAATGCTCCAATATAGATTAAAGTATATGGCGGTAATGTGACAAAAGGCGAAAAAGGTTCAGCAGTATAGATACGTTTGTTAGGCTGTGTACATTCTCGACAGACTGATTCACCCAGATTTTGAAAAACGTCTTATTAACAATGTTTTAGCAAAGCGAGGTACTTAATTAATGTTTTACATTTGTTTGTTTCCTTTAGAAAAGAAGTTGGCCTGGACCTTTTCTTCCCTCAGCAACTGATAAACAGCATGAAGGTAAAACCTCTATCCCAAACATTTGTCTTTTATTTACAGGCACCATGAGAGAAGATTTATTTATTTTTTTTGGTCTTTTTCCTGAAAGTTATACTTTTGATGTCTGTTTGTGATTGTGGTCCAGCCGAAGCAGCTGCGGAAGATGATCCAGCAAACATTTCAACAGTATGCAACCCTGAAGGAGGACGGCTGCATGATCAAGTTTTTTGAGACCCTCAAGACGTTTACCAGCTTTGATGAAGAAGTCTTTCCATGTGAACTTGTGGTGAGTTGCTGTAAATAACTTCTCATAAAAACTCCAGACACACGTTGTTAACGTTTTCATCGCAAACCTTTGTGTTCATCACCAGCAAGGTTGGAGTTTGTCTGTGGAGCTGGTCATTGGAGGAAGGGGCATTCGCCAACGTTCTCAGAAGGATTCAGCAGTAAGAGAAAAGCTATTTTTACATTTCCTAGCTTGTTTCATACCTTAAATATAGATTTTTTTTTCTATTTACAGGTCATTTTCAGCATTTTAATGTTCTATTTTGGTGCTTAGTTGCTGCATCAGCTGCCCAACAATTAACATTCATAATTTCTTCTGGTGCTTAACAGATTTTAGTGTCTTCTGTTCCCCTGGTCACCATGAGGATTTCTATTTTACAGAAAACAAACAACTATGTTGTTTGTTTTCTGTATCTGTGAAACAGTAACTAAATTAACACATCAGCAGGTCTAAATTTTAATTAAATTAAGGGAAGAGGGTTTAAGCAAAACGTGTCACTTTTGCCCAAGGGGTGAAAGCGCCGGATGAAACAGCGATGTGCAGCTTCACACTTCACAACAGGTGGCTAAAAGTTCAGTTCACACAGATTAAAAGGCAATTAATTCATTATAATAGTTCACAAATTAAAAATTCAGTGTCACCTAATGCTCCACGCAGGATCTAGGTGTTCCTTTGTCAATTTCTTGTGAGACAACTTTTGAAAAAAATGTTATTAAATGTCAGTGGAAGATGTTTCAGTAAGCGTTATTTACCGTTTCAGTAAGCGGCCGTTGGCCACTTTTTAATCGTCTCGTTTTGTGTACACTAATATGCATTGCGTTAAAATATGGCCCTAAAAAGTTGCACCACATTTTTGTGCTTTTCTTTGACAAAAAGCAAATAAAAAAAAAATCTAAAAGTATGACCACAAAGCTGCTAATTCAGACTAAATAAGTAGAAATACTTCACTACGCATGTCATGAGGAGAAGTATCTGTTGCTTACAGTTGTCAGTAAAAATGTCTCATATCAAAGAGTTGTCATCATAATTGAACCTACCTGTCGTTTTGTGCCACAGGCTTTGTTCCTTACTGACTTCAAGCAGATAAAGAAAATCCAATGCTTGCCTCAGACCGATGACAAAGCTCTCCTCAACATCAGCGTCGAAGGCGCCAAACAAGTAAGTGCAGCAAAAAAGTTACGTCTAAAACTTCCTTAAATTAGAGCTTAATGTAAATGCAACCGGGGGGGTGAGGGGAGGAATCAAAGGATCTTGTTTATATTTGCATGTTATCCTCTTTAACAGAACCTGTCTATCAGTGTGGCTTCGGTTCCTATAGCAGAAAACATGATGGATCTCATCGATGGATACTGCCGCCTGGAAAATGACACAGACGACAGTGTTATTTACCGACCAAACAAAGGTGTGCTTATCTTACTATTACGAATTCCCTACAAATTGTGAACAAATGTTCTTAAAACCTTTTCGATCTAGATGCCAAGTCTGCGCAGGTGTCCCTACCCGACATCCCTACAAGGTGAGATGTTTTACTGGATTACTCACTCGACACTTAGAAGAAGCCGTGAATAAAAAGTCTGACTAATCTTGTTTTGTTTGTTCTTTCAAAAAGCACTGACACCAACTCATCTAGACACAGTATGGGTGAGCCAAAAACCTCACATTTCCTCAAGCATGTATCTCTTCTGTGTAATTCTTTTAGAAACAAGTACATGACGTCTTTGTTGATTCAATTCTCTCTCCATTTGGATTTTCAGGTTCTGATATTTACTGTGAGATTCTTGATGAGAGACCAAAATCAGGTTTGTCCGAAGCTGTTAACACTCGTCTCTGCTTAAAATAACAGCAGTTGAAATTCGTTTTCGATCATTAAAACTATCCCGTATTGGGTCCGTAGCTGTGAAATATGGGATTGATAGAAGTGACATCATTCTGGGGCGAATCCTTGGCGAAGGCTTCTTTGGAGAGGTCTATGATGGAGTGTACAAAAGAGCCGTGAGTAACTATTTAGGCTTTACAGACGCATCTGGAAAACAGATAAACATGACGTGTTTGTTGCTTTATTGGACAGAACGGCGAGAGGGTTAATGTGGCAGTCAAGACCTGCAAGGACTGCTCATCTGACGTGATGGAGAAATTCATGAGCGAAGCAGGTATACGAGGGTCTGCCTTGGCTGTAAACGATAGAAGCAATGCGGATGAGAGCGACATTTAATATGTACGAGCTTTGCTTGGCAGTTATCATGAAGAACCTCGATCATCCTCACATCGTCAAGCTGATTGGCATCATAGAGGAGGATCCTGTGTGGATCGTCATGGAGCTTTACCAGTACGGAGAGGTTCGTCCCCAGTCACTGCTTCTTTCTTAAACTGTTTCATGTGGTTTGATTCGGCTCAGTTTTGCCTGATGCCGTATGGGGAAAATGTACCCGAGTGATTAAATTATCGGCATTTTTACAGCTCGGCAAATACCTGACTCAGAACCAAAACAAACTGACAAACACAACCCTGGTGCTGTTCAGCCTGCAGATCTGCAAAGCCCTCGTCTATCTCGGGGGGTGCAACATGGTGCACAGGTGAGAAAAGGATTAAAAGATGAACATAAATGCAAGTTCTTCTTCTTTACAAGGTCAAAAGGTGTGTCTCTCTGCATGCAGTTAGTGTATTTTAACTTTTCGTGATAGCATGTGTCAGTTTTGCATGTCAGTTCCTCAGAATATCAGAAACCTAAATTAAGGCAAAAAGATTTTTTTTTTAAAAAAAGTCAATAAGTGAAAGCATAAAACCTCACAAAGCTACACAAGAGAGAAGCTAGATGGCACTGTGGCTTCACCCCAGATACTGATCAGCCTTACAGTCATTTTTTTAAAAAAGGTTTTTAATATTTATATGTAAGAATTGCGGCATGTAACCATGTAAAGTCAAAAAAATTGTATTTGGCCTCATTCCAGTTTGCAACCCCTTCAGGTCAACATTTCTAATAGATTTTAGATTTACAGTTCTGAAGGAGTCCTTGTAGTTCTTGAACTAACTTCACAAATAGAGCAATTAGCTACTGTAGATAAATCAGAAATCGAAACTTTTATTTATAATTTCATTCTATCTGATGCCCAAACTCAAAAATAGAATGAAAAACAGGATTTTTAAAATGAACTATCATCTGTTTTTTTTCAGTTAATATCCAGGTGAAAGCAGGGTTTGTATGGGACATAAAACGATAAGCTTGTGCTCTCTGTATTATGCTTTATTTTTCTGCATAGGCGGAAATAAATAGGCAAAAGAAAAAATAAATAAAAACTCATATGATTTTCAAACAGTTACCACAAGTAGCCACTAGTATTTCATCAACTTCTACCCAGGGTGTTGTAGTGATCATTATTCATATCTCATGACCATATGTGAAAATCAGAGCATAGATGAGTCTGTAAATGAAGAACTTTGCCTTTTGGGTTATCTCAGTGTTTAACATACCGAACATGCATTACATTACTGCAGACAAGTCTATCCGTCTTAAACCAGATACTTGAGCTGATGGAACCTAACTTAGCAAACACATAAAAATTAAGAATAAGTGCCAAACTACAATAATGTTGCTTTTGACAGGGATTACAGAACATCAGTATTTCATATTAATGAAATGATGACCACCGCAATGTAATAAGAGCTGTAAAAAAAAAAATGTCCTTGAAGTTAAAATACTGACCGTGAGACAGAACAAATGAGACAGTCATGCTACTGGAAGAAAAAGAAATACAAAAATGTTATCAGTAGAGTCCAGGCAGCCTTTCATGGCTCCAAGCTTCTGTGAAAGAGAAAACACCGACAAAAATAAATGTTCACCTGCCTAAAAAATGTAAACATTCCTTTTTCCCTGGTTTGATCCAGCCGATCTGAAGGTGAATTTTTTTTTCTTCCTCAAGGACAAGCTTCTCATTGATCCAAATATTCGTTTAATGATATTCCTCCTACTTCCGTTGCATTTTCATCTTGTGTTTTTTTCATTTGCTTGCAGGGATATTGCTGTTCGGAACGTGTTAGTTGCAAGCCCAGACTGTGTGAAGCTTGGAGACTTTGGTCTGTCGAGATACATTGAGGATGAAGAATACTATAAAGGTAACGGAGAAGATGATACAAAGATTTCTATCAGAAGATCTGGCTGGTTAAGCTGAAATATAACCTCTGACCTTTTGCACAATGCGGCTGAACATGACCTCACGGTGATTTCTCCACAGCCTCTGTTACTCGATTACCAATCAAGTGGATGGCCCCAGAATCCATCAACTTTAGACGTTTCACCTCAGCTAGCGATGTCTGGATGTTTGGTGAGCTCAGAGACGCATTTTCAGATTTCCTTTATAATCCTCTGATTTACATCTATAATGCTTTAAGCCAGGGGTGTCAAACTCCAGTCCTCAAGGGCCGCTGTCCTGCAGTGTTTAGATGTGCCACAGGTAAAAAAACAGTGGAATGAAATGGCTTAATTACCTCCTCCCTGCTAGATCGGTTCTCCAGAGCCCTAATGACCTAATTATTCTTTTCAGGTGTGGTGCAGCAGAGGCACATCTAAAAGTTGCAGGACAGCGGCCCTTGAGGACTGGAGTAGTCTTGTCTCAGAGTGAAAATGCCTGAGCGTCTATTCTGTTGTCTTGTGTGCATCGCGCTGCAGCTGTGTGTATGTGGGAGATCATGAGCCAAGGGCAGCAGCCGTTCTTCTGGCTGGAGAACAGGGACGTCATCAACCAGCTGGAGCAGGGCATCAGATTGCCCAAACCAGAGAACTGCCCTCCAGCTCTTTACTCACTCATGACGCGCTGCTGGTCCTACGACCCCGGAGAGAGACCCAGCTTCACCGAGCTTGTGATCAAGATCAGGTATTTATTTTAAAAATTGAACAAAAGATGCAGAAAGAGAAACACTATACTTTCATGATCTCCTTCTCTATGATTTGTGATTTTTTTTTTGTTTTGTTGAGAAAGGTTCTTACTACATTCAAATTAAAATATTTTTATTTTATGAACAATGATAAAAACAATTTTTAAAGAATAATTCAGAGAAACATAAAATACACATGTAAAAGAAAAATAAAAACAAGTTACAAACTCTGACAAGAAATGACAGATATCAGATAAATGTATTGTAGTGATAATGTATATTTATCTTAATACATAGTGTTGTAAAATAGTTTCAACTAAAGCCAACACTTGTTTTGACTATTTAAGACACGATACAAACATTTGCAGTGTCCATGAGGGGTTACTTGCTGTCTCTTGTTTAAAATTTTCATCATGTAAACCACATTTCTCAAATATGCCATACAAATAAACTTGAGGACCAAAAATACACCCTATGTTGAACTCCAGTAGCACTACTAACTTTGCCTAATTTAGAATTACAAATGGAAATTACAGATCAGTACCTGGTTTAAGTACATAAACATAAAGCTAGCTGAAAAAGTTTTGCATGGCCAACTATATCCAAGGTCAAAATCTTGTCTTTCCTCAACAGCTTCGCATCAGAATTCATCTATAGGAACATAAATTGAGATGCGGGTCTTGTGTCAAAATGTTTAAGGAATGAAATAGATCACGCAGCTGTTGACATTTCTTCCCCAGAGTTAATATTACTGACTCACCCATTTACTTTGAATCTCTTTTATTCAACTGTCAATAGTTGCTCAATTGTATGTAAACGTCTCAAGTTGGAACTTCAAAGGCCACTTCAGTTTACAAGGTCGTAAAATCCCGACGTGTCTTTCAGTGACGTCCACAAGATGGAGAAAGAGCTGGACGTAGAGCGAGAAAGAGACAGAGCGCGCGCCACCAAGTTTCTGGAACCAAAGGTCAGCTTTGCAGATGCTCCCCCCAAGGTATAAAAACTTGTTCATTTTATTTTTGTTTTAACATATCTTGACAAAAAAGAAATAATAAAAATGTCTGGTTTAATGCACTCACTTACCTTTTTCACTCTTTACTGAAGCCCTCAAGGACGAAGCCAAACCGATTTGGGAACACGCTCAGTATCGGTCTACATATTCAGGTGTGTAAGTTTAGCCAAATAACCCTAGGATATTTACAGGATTTTTACAGTCTGACTGATCTGCTTGTGTGTCCGTGCAGCTGAATGAAGCCCTTTGTGCCAGTTCACCAGACCTGGCCAGCCCATGTGAATACCAGTCCCCGATTGACTCCAGAAACACGCTCGCTCTGCCGGTTAGGTCCCCCCGTCGCCGCAGTATGGGGGTAAGATCACGATAACGAAGCTTCCTTCTGACCTGCAATAAATGCCATCCATTTAGAGTAAAAATAAACTGTCATCTCTGCATTAGGAGAGCGAGTTTATGCGGATGGAGCCAAACAGCAGGGAGGACGCCCGGCGACTGTGGCAGAGAGAACGGCAACACATGCAGGAGACTCTGCGGATCCAGAAAGAGCAGATGATTGAGGATAAGAAGTGGCTGGAGGAGGAGGAGAGACTCCTGGTGGGAAACAGAGCATCATTAGCTGTAGTCGAACCCCTCTCTGTGTCCCTGTGTCCCTCTTCTCACCAGTTCAATGTTACCCTGGAATCTGAGTGGAACAAGGCGCCTTTAAATAGAACAAAAACTTTTGTCCAACCTCGACGCGCCACTAGCGTTAGACTGAATGCTCCCCTGATAACAGTGCAAAAGAAAGGCCCCATGTCTTTATTCTGTAAAATGAACCTGCCTGTTCTTTTGCAGGACCCCATGGGACAGGATGACTTTCCCATTGCAGAGGTAAGTGTCCACGTGTGCAAAATAAAATCCCAGTCAGATTAAATGAAGTTAGCAGGTAGTAACTTCGGACTATGTACCACACACTTCCTAAACGAATATGCAGCTGAGTGAGAAAGCATGTTGGTGTTGTTACGTACCAGATCAAAAAAGTGCATAATTGTGAGGATAAATCGCTTTTCTCCGAAATTACAGCTGCGAGTCTTAGGTTGCGATTGTGCCTTGCTCTTCCAAGTTTTGGATGAAAACTTTTACACGTATCCACTTTTTGTAGGTTTACCACAGAAAACCCAAAGGTGATTATAACTTGATAAGATCTGAAAAAAAACTCAAGAGGTGTAAATACTTTTGCAAAGTTCTGTGCAACAAAGATAGGTTACATTCTTTAGGCATGCTGACATTTTTTTGCGAATAACTGGAACCAAAGATCCAGCCAGTAAAATTACAAAATTAACAACTTGATAAAAGTTCCTCTTGTCGGATGCACACATTAGGAACTGCTTAAGTTAACGTTTTTTTTTATTCTCGTTTACTTTCTGCACTTATCTGATTGTCTTCGTGTTTGTTTTTCTCTTTGCAGCCAACTGAAGATGAGAGTGAGAATGGTAAGGGCAAAGACAAATTACTGTTTTACATTCAATTGTTTTCCTGTTTTGTTGTCCTGTAACAAATGTCTTTCCCACACAGCACCACCTGAGAAACCCCCACGACTCAGAGCACAGGTACGTAGACGGTTGTACCCTGGTTAAATTTTTTTTGTTGTCATTCAAACAGATTGATAAGCTTTTCCTGAATGAATATTTTAATATTCCACTTTAGGCTGCTCCCACAGCAGAGATCGACCGTTCTGACGATAAAGTATACCAGTATGTTATGGACTTGGTCAAAGTTGTTGTCCAACTCAAGAATGACATCACCGGGCTGCAACCAGAACAATATAACTCCATTGTCAAGGTACACTGAGACAAATTACCTGCCCTCCACCTCCGCTTTGTATGTCGTTGTTGTTTTATAGGCCAATTTAAAATGCAGAGGAAAACCTCCTGAGTCACAGAGCTGATTCATTTTCTTTATTGATCTATCCGCAGTCTGTTGGGATGGCCTTACGAGATCTGATCCGCAGTGTGGATGATGTGCTGCCGAGTTTACACGAGTCGATCCGGACTGAGGTATTGCTTTATTGTACATACGAGTCAAACATACTACCAATATCCTTACCTTGAATGCACTGTGACAGGATTCTGTAAATAAACACCAAATTTAAAATGAGGCCAGCTTTTATTTGACCAGATCCATTCCCTTTTTTGTTTTATTCGGGGTGGGGGTGGGGGGGTTCAGATTGAAGGTACCCAGAAGCTGCTCAACAACGACATGGCCGAGCTGATCAGCAAAATGCGCCTGGCCCAGCAGAACTCCATCACATCTTTAAAGGAGGAGTGCAAAAAACAGATGCTGGCTGCCGCTCACACTCTGGCCATGGACAGCAAGAACATGCTGGATGCTGTGGACCAAGCAAGAGTCAGAGCTAATATAGCCAAACCAGCTGCACCAGAGTGAACTGCTTTGTTTTTTTTCTTCTTGTTTTTTAACTGACTTTTTTTCTTGTCTCTCTAAAATAACATTTGGACCTCATCAGAGAGTTTGGTTTTGATAAATATGAGCCAAAGGCAGCCTCTGGTTCATTGGGGAACCATGTGTAAATGAGTGATGTGTTTAAGTGAGACTGTCAAAGTAAAATCAAAAATCCACATTATTTGATATGACATTTTTTTTAAAATAGCATAAAACAGACTTAAGTGTAATGATCTTCAATCGAAGTCTATGATGAGACATTTATGTAAGTTGGAAATTAAAAATCTTTGTAAATACAGAATGTGTCCTTTATTTACCCCTTGATAGCCACAAAGGAAGATCAGGGAATAGTGTAACCTGTTGACCCAAACATTTTATTTTGGGTGTGGCCAGTGTTTTTTTTTTGAGGACACAGAACAAAAGAGTAAAATAGAAAAAAAAAAGAAAGTGGATAGATAATCTACGGAGAAGAAATTAGCTCCTCTTACTCGTCCTGCTGCTGAAATACACCACTCCCACTTCAGAAGCAACTGGTCAGATCAAGGAAGAATGTCTTATCAATGTCAATCACGCTTGTGTACATGTTGCTCACAGAGGAGCTGAAGTAAATGATGGCTAAGAGAAAACAAACAAAAAAGTAAACAGAGGGGAAGGATGTAAACCAGAGAAATATGAGAGAGATAACATGACGGGAACTAAATGGTTAAAAAGAAAACATGAAAACAGGGTCCGATACCTCATAACTGCAATGGTGATAACATTGATCATTTGAGTAACTGAGGTTCCAATAGAAGTTGAGTCACAGAAATTAGTGTTTCACTGACACCCCACTGGCTCACATACAAAAGTGTTCAGGCTGACATTGTTGCATAATTTCACGTCATTAGCAAGTTAATAGGTCTCACTACTAATTTAATGTAAGCATTCATGTTTATTTCTGAACAGACTTGTAAATGTTAGCATTCTGCTGTCAACCCTGATGCAGTATTACTGAAGTCCATGTAAATAAATAAAAAGTCAATGTCTTTGTTTTTTAGTAGGTGACTTCTGAGCCCAGAGAAGTTGTACTATTAAAACAAAATAACATCAACAATAAATCAGAGTCCAGCTGCAGATTTTATTTTTTAATCTTTCCTCACAAAACCTAAATCATCCCAGCCAACCAGGGGGGTAGGAAGAGGCCTATTGTGCCAAGCAGGCACACAATAATGAACATCCATAGGAAGATCCGATCAATGACCATGGCAACATACTTCCAATCCTCCTTCACCTGTGGAAAAAACAACGAAGGAGAGAAAATTTAATGGAATAAAAAAACAAAAACATGCCTAACCAAAGACAGCAATCTTCTGAGATGAATGTATTTTGCTTATGAGCTAGATTTTTAATTTACTGCTTTAGGACACCAGCGCTGCAATATATTCTGGAGGACTACGCTGTCGGTTTTAGAGACACCTCCTCACTATTCCCTTCCAGCAAAGTGATTTACTGAAAATTGTCAGCATCAATCATCTCACAAGATCCTTTTCTCTGGAACTCCTGATATTGACTCTCAGCTGGAGTTTTAACACGACTTTAGGAACATTAAAAGCAGACTAGCTCAAGAACCTAAGAATAAATGTCTCTGAAGTGACTTTTTGCCAAAAAATGATCTATTTACCTTAGTAAACCTAAAACAACAAGTTACTTCTGTTCTTCAATTGACTATTTTTCTAGCTGTCTTATGGATCTGATTTTCATCCATTTGTTAGTTATCAAAAAAATTCCTTGATTTTTTTTTTTTTGTGAATCCTCAGCGTAATCTTTGAGATTAGTTTAACCAACCCAATCTAATCTCAATTCCCAGTATTGTGGAGCAGAGAACGAATCAAATCTGCCCTTTCACAAACATTTAACGACTTTCCTAACAGACTCTTTAAATTCTCATTGACAGGCCCCATGTCTAGTCATTGTTTACTTTTTACTTTCTCATCGGCTGGTAAATCATATCTTATTTTTATGTCTTAGCTTGTTTTCTTTAGCAGGGAAATAGTAGTACTGCGGTAGTTACGATAAGCAATACTCACACTGAAATCTGCATCTTCAGCTCTCAGATGGTCTGCAATGTAGTGAACCCCTTGTAACGCCCGTATTACACTTGGTGAAAGTATGAAAGGTGACTCTAACCCTGAGCTGTCCCCTTTAGGAGGCTGCTGCGGGGAATTAAACCTGGCTCCAGACGACTGTCTGTTTAATCCTGCACCACCATCTTGCAAGTTTTGGTTGCTCTGGGTTTTCTTCTGTTGCAGCGGAGGAGTCAACCCCGGAGGTCTCGGTGAGGGGGGCCGGAAGGAGAAATATGACGTCAGCGTTCCAAGCTCCAAGTCCTCGTAGCAGCTTCTCTCCGAGTTTTCCAGAGTGCTCCCGTCTCTCATCCAGGTATAAGAGGTGCTGATGCAGTGGCTTGATTCATACCCCGCTATCTGCACTTGCCTCCTCTCTGCTGCTATTTGCTGCTGGAGTAGCAGCAGCCTGCGGCGCCGGCCGTCAGGCGCCGGCCTGCGCATGAACAGCCAGCGTGGGATCAGGTCCAGGAACACGGAGTGGACCCAGCGGGGCATCTTGTGAGTGCTGGGTGAGCGATGGTGCACGTTTAGCACAAACACCGTGATGACGATGGACAGGGTGACAAAGATCATCGTGAAGAGGAGGTACTCGCCGATGAGAGGAATGACGAGAGACGTGGAGGGTATGATCTCCGTTATGAGCAGGAGGAACACGGTGAGGGACAAAAGGACCGAGATACAAAGAGTGATCTTCTCACCGCAGTCTGAGGGCAGGTAGAAAACTAAGACAGTGAGGCATGAGATCAGCAAGCAGGGAATGATGAGGTTGATTGTGTAAAATAAAGGAAGCCTTCGGATGATGAAGAAGTAGGTGATGTCTGGGTAGATCTCATGGCAACAATCGTATTTCTTTGTGTTGTATGTTCCCACGGCGTTGATGATGGCCCACTCCCCGCTCTCCCAGTAGTTGTTGAGATCCACGGTGTTTTCTATCCGCTCCAGGTCGATCTTGGCTTTGTCGTAGGTCCAGGAGCCGAATTTCATTTTGCAGTTCTGCTGGTCGAAGGGGAAGAAGGTGACGTCGATACTGCAGGAGCTTTTGTAGATGGCAGGCGGGACCCAGCGCACTTTACCAGTATGGAACAGGTGAGCTTTGGTCATGTGGGTCACAGCAAACTCGCCGTCAGCACTAGAATATAAAAAGAAGTTGCGAAAGGAAACTCAACGCTGCCGTGGCTTAGAGGGAAGCAAAGTTTAGGCACATACAGAAATGACATGGTGAAAAAATGTAACTCATTTTAAATCCCGTTCATTATCTTAATCACTATAATAGCTTCTGTTGAAGAGCCGCTATCATTTCATCAGTTTAATTTCACTGACAGACTGTGATTAAACAGACTCATCGGAGCAGAACTCCATCATCAACCTGCTTGATTTTAATCTGAGTGAGGTGACTTTAGGTGCTGGGACTTGAGTCTGAAGGCTGATTTCACATGGCGATATTGCATTGATGAAGGCTGCCTTCTTTTTAAAATGAGTAAGCTCCACCAACATGCTAAACAAGGAGCTCAGGTAAACATGTAAACAGTAATCAATATATTATACCACTAGATGGCACTGTACACATATCATAAACCTATAAATTTGTCATCGAGTCTTTCAAGATACAATAAAAATATGTATTTCATTTTTAAAGCAAGCAGTTTTTTACTTTTTGACAATATACATTATAACTGGATGTTATTTGTAACATCCAGTTATAATGTATATAACTGGATGATATTTGATCAAAAACAACAATTGCATAAATAAAAAATCTTAACGAAAAAACAAAAACAATAAACAAAACTATTAACTCACTTGTTATAGAGAACTATATCTGGGACCCATATGAGCTCCGATGGGACTCTGATGGACGTTACGTTGTCATAGTCAGATGGTCTCCAGCGAAGTTTGTAGTCATTCCACTCCTGGGAGAGTCAAACAGAGATCAGTGTTATCCTTGAGTTTTTATCCCTCGAGATTTTACCATTGAAGGCAGAAAATCTTTTAAAATTTGACTGTAGAAACAGGTTTTCTAACCTGCTTTAACCACACGTTAGTTGTCATCATTTGGTTTTTCTCATCCTGAATGGGAGACACAGCAGAGATCAAAGAACAAACGAACTGAAGTACTTAAAGATGCATGTGTAAAGTAACATTTTTGTAATCTAAATGAAACACACATGAGATCTGGTCCATTTGGTCGGACATTATGACTACAAGTGCTGGAACAAACATCTTGTGTTTTGTACATATCCAGATTTTTTGGCATGAATTTCTTTCACACTCATTCTTCCATTTGGGGTTCATGTTAGATCTGAGGTTAGATCTAAACAGTTTTACAACCAGTTTTCCGATACTAGTTTTGCCTTTGGACCAGTTCTTTATCATCAAATGACCAAGCAGCACAAGCATTACTGAAAACACACAGACGATGCATCAGTTCTTCCCTCACCAGATCCTGTAATCACTAATGAAAATGACACTGAGATACTTCAAATCATTTGCTAGATTCAGAAATATTGAATATCGACAAAAGTATTTAGCTTGAATCCTTTTGCAACCACAATTACAATCCTTTCATATAACTCACCACATCAATGAGCTGGGCTATGGACAGTCCAAACTTGACTATAACCACATCAGAGATGTTTGGGACAGGTCTTGACCACTTGTTGTAACCAGAGAACAGCGTCTTGAAGAGTTCATCTTCGGCATGTGAATGGGTCTTGACATGACCAACAACTGTGGAAAATAAGATGTTTATTTATTCAAGATACTCTTTACTAGAATTTTACAAACACATAGTTAATTTAGATGATTACGTTGGATCTCTGATTTCATGCTATGAAATGTTTTCAAGTAAATGTGATCATTTACACTCTTTTATTTAATAATGTTTAATTTATGCAAACATGGCATCATGTTGTGGCTTGTGAAGGAAAGAGCAGGAGCTGGAAACATGGAGATGTTTCATCACAGAAGTCTAGCTAGATTTAATATAGTGTGAGATTTAATTTCAGTTTAAATCCAGATGTCTTGTTAGAGAACATTACAGACTGTCAGCATCAAGAGAGCCAAGGAGCACAGAAGACAGATAAAGTTTTAAAGACATTTTACGCAAAATTAGGTTATCAAATAAAATCCCAGGCTTTGAGCACCTTTCAGAGAATAATCTAAAAGTCGAGAAAGATTGCAGAACAAATGCAAACTAACTGGAAGTACAGGCTATGAGAGCATTATGTATAGCAGCAGACAAGAGAAGAAAAATCTGAAGGAGCTGGACAGAGCCGCGTGTCAGGTGGGAGTGTCTGTTGACAGAACAGCTACTGCACTTCACACATCTGGAGCCTAAAACAGTGGCAAGAATCAACACTTTCTAGAAAGAAAGCAAGAAGAAGTCCCATTTGCAGTTTTGAAATACCCATGAAAGAGACACAGCAAACATGAGAATGAAGGTGCTTGGGTCAGATGAAATCAAAGTGTAGCGTTTTGGCCTGTTTGCAAATGTATGTGCACTAGCTTTTTTCATTGATATTTTGACTAAGAGCATCAAAAAAGTCTCTGTCATAACCTAAGTTTACCAGTCATATTTAAAAAAAAACATGATAATATTGACTTATTCAACTGGATTTCATTTTCATTCAGTTTAGTTAATACTGAAAAAGGTGAGCAGGATCCCAGGTAGTTTGAGCTGGTTTTGGGTTTGGTTATTTCATTGTCCCTTCTTTCTTGTCGTTCATTAGATCAGCTGTGTTTCTGTTTTACTTTGGTCCAGTTTTTTCTTAGTGGTCTCAGTAGTTTATCAGGTTTAATGCTTGTGTCTAGTCCTCTTAGTTACTTTAGTTTTATTATGTTTCTAATGGGGCTGCACAGTGGTGCAGTTGGTAGAGCTGTTGCTATGCAGCAAGAAGGTTCTGGGTTCAATTCCCTGCCCTGGGTCTTTCATTTTATGACCTTTTTCAGCTTCATCTGTGTTCACTCTGGGTTTATTAGTCACTCTGTCTTGATTTTCCTGCTCTGCTTTTTCTCCAACTGCATCACATTCCCCCGATTAGTCACTCCTGGTTCTCATGCCGCTCATTAACTCTCCCAGTAGTTAAGTCTGTCAGTTTCATCATCTTCCTGCCAGACGCTCTGTTCATCCATGTCCATTCATCACTGCCTGCTTTTCATCGCCTGTTTTCGTCCTGACAGTAACAGTTACCGCGTATTCTAGTTATTTGTTGCTCCCTGTGAGTTCTTCCACTTTTCTGGATGTCCTGTAAGCAAATAACTAGAATGAGTCCACCCATGTCTTGTCTTGAGGTATGGATACTTTTCAGTGCACTGGACCTGGATCTTTTCCTTTTCTTAACTGTTGGATAAATTATTTATTTTTAACTGCGTGTTTTTAACCATGTCTGCTCTTTTGGTGTCACAACTTGTGCATAAAAAAAAGCAGATTTCAAAAAAAGGGCTTTGATGTATCTGATGTGCACTATATTGGAAAGGATTAAAATGTGCAACTCTGTGAATATTGCAATGACCATTAGTGTGCCTAAGACCTGGTGCTATACTTTTATTTTTATTCTAGTTGATTACTTTAGGAGGAGTAACAGCAGCCCTTAATTTGCAAAAAATGTCAAAAGCTTCCAACTGAAGACCGTTAAATTCCTCACTTATTTTATTAGCTCTAAAACAAAAGCCTTAAACTGACAGTGTGACATTTTACAATGGGTCATGCACCATAACTCATTATATTTCACTGCCCAAAATGGTGAGGTGTCCTTTCTGTGCCTTGCTTTCTTTGTGTTCCTGATTCAGGTAGGATTTGGCATAAAGGAAAATACTTTTTAATTTTGTTATATTAAATATTTTAACTTTCAAGAAAGAAAGAAGTACTTTTCTCTCTGTTGTTCTTTCTTTCCTTCAAAAATCTTTTTTTCAAAATCTTACTAAAATCAGGCACATCCACATGTAATCTGTTACGGTGACATTAAGATTTAAACAAGGTCCTGCTGTGTTTGCAGTTTTCTCTCATAGTGCTTTGCAACTCGGTGGAGCGTGTCACCATTATGGATCAACAAGTTTGATCCATACGTTCTTGGTTCCATTAAGGACATTTCTACAAAGTGTCAGTGCAGGTCAACCCTCTGCAGGGTCAATGCTGTAAAGACTTTTCAGACATTATCTTTGCCATATGATGGGTTTCAAAGTGGACTCATGTCCTACCTTCATTTGTTTATTCTAATCTGACCAATGAGGTTGCAGCTGAGGCTTCCTGTCTGGTCTCTTGACAGGCCTGGTGAGATGCGTCCATTTTCCGTGCCTCTGGGAGCAACCACATGTGTGGGGCTAAACAAAAAAGGCTCCTGGGTACCATTCATCAAAGAACCTCCTGGCAGTGGAGTCTTGAAATGAGATGACACCTTCAAAATCCAGCAAACTGGGCTTAGAAGACTGGAGGCCAGCCAGGCCCCTCGGCCAGGTCTATAAAACACTGACCCGTTTGGAGGATCGAGTCAGCAGCTTCCTTGGCCAGAGGCACTCTTGGTGAAATTGGACTGTCAAGTGCTTTTAGTAAAGAGTATGGAGGGGAACAACGTGGAACATTTTCTGGATAAGAAAACTGCAAGGCGTCAAGTCAAAGAGCTGATCTTTGGCTTGATGGCAAATGAACCATCTCTAGATCGTATGTCTACTTTTTTTTTTTTTTTTTACTGCAGAAGTCAAACAGGAAACACGGGGCAGGGAGATGCAGACTTGAAATGTTTTTTTTTAGGCATTTGTTGAGAAAGTCTGCAAATTACTTGTGCATTTGAGTGAACAATTGATTCATGGTTTAAATTGGTGCAAAAAAGAGCACACGTTTTTCCTTTACTGTCAATCTCTTTTAACAGAGAAAGTTTCTGCAGATATCTATAAAAGCATAACATTTTCATAAAATGCATTTCCTTCAATGGTTGTGCATATTTAATCCACCTCTTTATTTAAAAAATCTGAATGTGATCAGTTGTAGATTAGCATTTTTGCACATATGGAAACATTACAAGATGTATGTGTGTTTAATGACTTTAGAAAGCCCACAATGCAAGTAATTTTATTATATAAAAGTGCCAGTTTGTATCAGGTGGATGGTATAAAACAGGATTAAGAGAATAAATTGGGTGTTTGTTAAATTACAAAATACAGAAGAATTAATAAAGTGAAACATAAGGAACAAATAAAAGATACCAGCATTTGTTTTAATGAACTAAAAATCTGCACTATGGACTTTATGGCTTCTGGAGGCCATAACATTTTCTCTGGCTGTGGCTGCAAACATGTCTGACTTACAGAAAACAAACAGTTGCTATTGGAGAAATGTATGTGAAGGTTAGTAAGGCAGTTGATTTTAATCCAAATATGATCTCAAGTATCAAATCCTAATGAAAGCATTGGTATTCTAGTAGCAATGTGTAGGACTTAACTCCCATTCCCTGTTGTTGACCTGCTGTCTTGTTTTACATCAAGTGGTGCCACAATACGGCTGTGACTAAAAGGTGCAGGGACCCTGAAAGGGCAGGTTTTCCAGATTTAGAAATGGACCATACAGAAGAAAAAAAAAAGACAAAACAATGTAATAATTTACATCTTCACCTGTTGAAAAAAAAAAACAACAAAAAAAACAAGAAAACCAATAAAAACAACTTCCATTGGAATTTCATAATGCAACTGCACTATCTAAGGTACTAGCTAAGATCATGTCATTGACAAAAACAAAATAGTGCAATAAAAAAAAACAAAAAAAACATGCATAACACACAACACACACACACACACACACTTTACCATAGAGGGGGACTTGGAACTACATGATAAATTCTTAGGATTTTGATTATAGTGCTGTCTGTGCAAGTGTGCAGTTAAACCTACAAGTAAGTATCTTGAGACTCAAATGCTTTCATATTGCATCAAGGGGGGTGAGGGGGTTGGTATCAGGATATCCCTAGGTTGGGATACTTAAGAAAAGAACGCAGTTATTTCATTGCTTTTTACTGAGTCTAGAGATGGACGTCAGAATAAATGAAGGGCTTTTATCGGAAAATAATGTAAGTGAAATTCACAGGTTTTGGTTCTTAAATATCTTTTTTTTTT